AGGCCTCGTTCAGATTTTCTGGAGGAAGAAAGTGCAGATGGGCACACAGGAAGTTCTGAATAACCGCCTCCCAGCAGGTCCGGCCACTCGGTAGAGGTGCTCATGTAGGTCCCTCAGTAGGCGACTTGGCTCCCTGCTGTTGCTGGACGGGAGGGGATGCCACTGCCCTCGTCCTGCTTTGCCAGTCACGGATACAGAGTCCTCCCAGGCTCCGTGGCCGCAGTGGCTGCGGAGGGCCGCGGGGTTCTCTGCATACACTTCTGTCAGCGCAACTGCAACTGCATGTCTGGGCGAGGGCCTCCAGCCAGAGCCCGCATCTGCTGATGTCACGCTGAGAGGACGAACATTCTTCTCCTCTTTTTCTTTTCTTTTTCTTTTTTTTTTTTTTTTTTTTTTAAAATTTTTTTTTTTTTTTTTTTTTGCCATAGGGTGCATTTGCTTGCCACAGAGAGACAGAAAAAGGGAAGGTGAAAAATCCCTCCCCTCCCCAGGGGGAATGGTCATGTCACAATCCCTTTTCCACTTTCCTCCTGGGATTTTGGGCATGCACTCACCCACTCTCAACATGATTTTCAGGCCACTGGGTTCGAACTGCAGTCATCCATGTGGGAGTCCAGAGCCTTAATCACTGGGCCATCTGCTGGTCTCATATTTTTCAATGATTTATTTATTTTTCAATGATTGTAATTTTTTTTTTTTTTTTTTTTTTTTTTTTTTTTTTTTTTATAAAATTGCATGTTCCTTTTGTGTTCAAAAAGATTAATATTAAAAGAAAAATAGGATCAGAAATTAAACAAATGCAAAAAGGAAAAATTAATGCTTTTAGAAAAGCAGAGGGGAAATGCAGCTTTTTACGGTCTCCCTTAGCTACGGATAGCAACCTGCCACTTGAAATCCTTCCAGAACAAATGTGAGGTGCAAGTAAGTGGATCTTAGTACTGTCACTATACTGGGAAGCTGAAAATGGCCCAGTGTCCTCAGGGTGACATTGTGAGGGCCATCAGGGAATCCCCTGGGGACTGCAGTAATGGCGGCGTGGTGACTCAGAACATTCGAAAGCGAAGGCTCCACATTGCGTCAGCTTCCACTGTGCCTGTCTGGAGAGGTGGCCAGGATACAGGGCAAGGCGAAGTCTGCCCTCGGCAAGGCGGCGGGTCAGCGGGGAGGGACTGGGCCACCCAGGTACGGAGAACAAGCCACTGTGCTGTGCTCCCCACGGGGTTTGTACCAAGAGTGCCAACCAGAGAAACTGAGCTCTTCATAGCTCGTCCCCACCCGAAACCCCCCCTCACAGCACTGCGGGGTGAGGCATCCAGCAGCATTCCAACATGGCAAGTCTATTTGCCCAAACTTTGGCCTCTAACTCTCTTCTCTCCCTTATGTCATTTTCCCCGGGATCTGTCCCTGGCTCTGTTTTCCTCTCTGCCTGCAGGGGGGTGGCCAGTGCCCTTTCCAGGAGGGTGTCATTGACATGGGCGAGGCAGCAGGACAGCGCGAATGAGCGTTTGCCTGCAGCCCTGAGAGCGGAGGGTGTGCCCTGCAGAGCCAGCGACTAGGCAACACTTCGGTGCCCATGGAGGTCCAGCACACCGAGGGGTTCATTCCAGCTGAGCTGTTTCACGCTGGCAGGCCTGAAGAGTAAGGCAAGGGGCCGGACACTGACGCGACGGCAATGCGAGGCTCTCAATGCTGGACTCGCATGCGAAGGGCCCGGGTTTGTGCCCTCAGGGCTCCGTGCCCGCACCATGACCTGGGCTGGCTGAGGCTGGGGGTGGATCGTGGCATGAAGACCTTGCTGAGCAGGAGTACGGGCGGAGAACAGCGGTCCTTCCACTAATTCTTTTTTTTTTTTTTGAGAGGTTTTTGCTATAGGGCACGTGCACTCACCAGACAGACAGAGAGAGACAGAGAGACAGAAAGCGAAAAATCACCCCCCAGGGGGGATGGTCACGCCGCAATCCCTTCTCCTCCATTCTCCTCTCGGGATCTCGGGCACGCACGCACACGTGCCCAGCATGAGTTTAAGCCACCGGGTCCAGGACTCGAATCGCAGTCGACTACGTGGGAGTCCAGCGACATAGCCATTACGCTAACTGCTGGTCCCCCTCCCACTAATTCAATCAGCGACACCCTCTATGTGCAGGCTGCTGCAGGAAGTCCTGGGACCTCCGGCAGGGGCCCTGGCAGCAAACCTCCCAAGCCACTTCTCCTGCACATTAGCTTTGAAGGATGGCAGTGGTCTTCATTGATAACAGACACACCTAAGACTGTGGTTATAATGAAACTGGAGGGCCAGTCAACGGCCTGGTGGTCATGTGAGCTGGATCCCACATGGCATGGCTGACTGCACCATTCGAGTCCTGGCCAAGGTGGCTTGGAAAATACGCTGGATCCCACATGGCATGGCTGACTGCACGATTCGAGTCCCGGCCAAGGTGGCTTGGAAAATACTCGGGCGCATGTGCGTGTGTGCCCAAAATCCTAAGAGGAGGATAGAGGAGCGACAGCAGGTCGGCCATCGCTCATAGGAGATGCTCTCACTCTCTCACTCTCTCTCTCTCTCCCCAGCAAACGCACATGTCTTCTGGTAAACTAAGAACAAAGAAACGGGTTTATTAACGCATCATCCTGGCAGCTAGAGAGCCTGCGGGCATAGGCTGATGTCAGGCTGACCTACAACATGGCCAATGGCTACGCAGATGGCAGGTACGTGCAGAGGGGCACAGAGAGCTCCTGACAGCTCTGTTATAATGACCGGATCGTGCAAGAACTAACCCCATCTCAGGAGAGCCAGAACCCACGCGGATCCACGAGCCATCACTAATTTAATCACCAGACTGTGGCCTGCATGCTACAACCACAGTCTGTCACTACCTGCTAGGCCTCACCACCTCCCAACATCAAATTCCAACATGGAACTTCGGGGGACAAACCATCATCTGAACCATAACAATAACCTCTCAAGAGAGGGTGACACGCTGGCCAGGGGAGCCCTCAGCACTGACCTTCCCTCTACCCCTCAAGCTGCCCTCTCACTGTCACGAGGTCCCCTCTCCAGTTTGGGCTACCTTCCGCAAGTCTCTACCAGGCCTTCTCCAGAGGTCCACCCGAGCAGTGGCGAGGGCCCTCAGGCCGTCGGTGTGAGGCTGTTTGCTGAGGTCACCTGCCCTGACAGGGGAGGACGAAGTCCAGCTGGTAGCTCCGTTCTCTCCCGGCAGGTCAAGCAGTGGGGCTGCTTTGAATCCGACACTGTTCAGTGGAGGTCCATGGCACCCGCTTCAATGTGCGGAGGAGGGTGAGTGCAGGCTGCTCACTACTGTGAGGGGTGACAGAGCCAGCTGGGCACGACTGGCGAGGAAGTTAGGAAACACTGCGTCCAAGGTCAGACTAACCTCTGAGAGACAAATGAAAAGGAAAGAAATCTAGCTGGGATAGAAACTGGAACAAGGGGGACCAGCAGTTAGCATAATGGCTATGTCGCTGGACTCCCACGTAGTCGACCGCAGTTCGCGTCCCGGACCCGGTGGCTTAAAACTCACACCGGGCATGTGTGCCCAAGATCCCAAGAGGAGAATGGAGGAGAAGGGACTGCGGCGTGGCCATCCCCCCTGGGGGGTGATTTTTTTGCTTTTTCTGGCAAGCGCACGCGCCCTATAGCAAAAACCTCTCCTCAAAGAAAAAAAAAAAAAAGAAACAAACTGGAACAAGGAATCCTCTCTTCTTGGACAAGATGAGCTTTTTATCAGCGGGATCCACTTTTCCACCACCGAGTCTAGGCCGTTTCCCACGCCTCCCCCGGCCGTTCCCTCGGGTTTCCTGTTATTGGAAGGTAAAGCAAGCTTGCTAGAAGCGGAAGTGCCTCTGAATGAGAGGTGCAGCACTGCACACCTACATACTCCTGAATTTAAGACCTTGGGGGAGCCCTCGGTCACCGAGATAACCCTAAGTGCACAGACCGTTCTGATGCACTCGGTACAGATTTGAGAGTATGTGCCCATCTGAGTCTCCACCTCTCCTCTGCTGGGGACTCAAGGAACATCACGCTTCTTCATCCAGAGCTAAGATTCAGAGAGTACGACCGAGTGGCCGTGTGATAAAACGGAACCAGCTAAACTGACCCACAGCACGGCGTCTGATAACTGGACAGTCGCCCTAACGTTCATTTTCTTTGTAAAGTTTCATTCTGAAAGATTTGTTTTACTAAAATACAGTGTGAAGAGTGAGACTGTCTAAGTGGCATTAGGATATTAGTTCTGAATGCATAATGATGTCTGCACCCACAGAATCAAATTAAATTTGGAAGGCTAGTTTTACATTTTTCTAAATTTAAAACCCTAGTAAACCATAAGTAATCTTTACAAACAGTGAAGTTTTCTTATTTATAGCTGAGGAAAGTATCTTCTGAATTCAGGTTAAGTTTTCAAAACACATAAAGAAAAGGAAATCAAGGGCCAGCTAGGTGGCAGGCAGGTGGTTAAGGCAGCTGGATCCCAGAGAGTCAAATTCCTAGTTCAAGTCCTGGACCCAGATGTTTCAAAAACATGCCTAGCTCATGTGTGTGTGCCCAAAACCCCAAGAGGAGAGCGGAGGAGCAGGGATTGCAGTGCGATCCCACCGCGGCGGGCAGGACGGAGCCGCGCTCCCAGTTCTTTCCCGAGGGGACAGACACATGCCGACCCAGCTGCGTGAGAGTGCCCCGGATTTGCAAGGAAAGGACAGGGAGGGCTAAATCGAGCCTTTCTGCAGAGAGAATACTGGAGGAAGAATGGGGACGAGAATTCTCAGGGCCGGGTTCTGGAAGATGCTGGAAAGGACGCGTCCCCTGAACACACACAAACTCGGCACCACTCGGCCCTTCCAGCTAACAGGGCAGAGCCAGGAGCTGCTAGCAAAGCGAAACCCTCTTCCAAACACACCCGCTGGGCACACCAGGCATCCCGAGTTCAAGGGGATGCGCAGGCCAGGGTTGGGGGACGTGCTGAGGGTCTGCGCGGTCGTACAGGACCGTGGTCTGTGGTGGCACCTGCGGGATGCGGTCCAGCATCAGGTGTACACAGCGGAGGGCGCTCTGCGGGCAGAGGCACCAGCTGGGGCAGGGCAGCCCCGGCAGGCACTTGCCGGCCAGGACGAGGCAGGCAACGCCGCCTAGCAGCCGGGGCTCCATCGTCCCCTGCGCTGGCCCGGGCGCGGAGGCAGGCGGGCAGCAGCGCAGGCTGAGCCGGCTTGGGAGCCTCCGAGGGCGTCTCAGTGGCGGGGAGAAGGCACGCCCGTGACCAATCCGGGGGAGGAGGATCACATTACAGGGCTGAGGGCACCGGCCGCTGTCAGAGGCTTTGGCCGCCCAGAGACCCGGAGCAGAAACTGGTTTGCGCGGCCTCCTGAAAGCACAAACTTTCCCGAAGCCGCTGCAGCGGCGTTTTTGACTTGAGTGAGCTTTTTTGCCCCTAGCTGTCCTTTTGAAGAGCAAGTGGATTAATTATTTACTGAGTGCAGGCCGAACAGCTTTTCTCCTTTTTCATCTGGTAGCTTCACCAAACCCTATAGGGCAGGCAGAGTCCTAATTAGTTGATCAGGCGCGCATTTCCCGTCCTGCGCCAGACTACGCTTTAAAAAGCGGGTTTATTTCTTCTGGAAGGTCAGCTCCGGAACCCAATGCGCCCGCCCGTGTGCGGTCCACGCTGGCTCCTTCTGCCCTCTTCCCGTGTGTCCTGTCTGCAACCGTAGGCTGAGACTGCGAGCGCATGCCCGGCTCACACCCAGGAGGCGACTGTGGAGAAGCACAAGCACATGAAGCCCAGCCAGGGGGACCCCAGGACCCCAGGCCCTCGGCCTCTGGCCTGCATCTTCTGGCTGGTGTCACTGAGATGCGGCCCTTCTTTGGGACCCGAAAAAGCAGCCTTCAAAAAATAGGCCCTGCAGTGGAACACTTGCTTTTCTGTCAGTCTGTAAGCTGGTGTTTTTTTGGGGGGGGGACCAGCAGTTAGCGTAATAGCTATGTCGCTGGACTCGCATGTAGCCGACCATGGTTAGAGTCCTGGACCCGCGGCTTAAACTCATGCCTGGAGTGCATGCCTGCCCAAGATCCCGAGAGGAGAATGGAGAAGGGACTGTGGTGTGGCCATCCCCCCCCCAGGGGGGGCATTTCTCTCTTTCTGGCGAGCGCACGTGCCCTATAGCAAAAAACAAAAACCTCTCCAAAAATAAAAGGCTTTTGGTTTTATCTTTTAATACTAAAGTTTTCAAACAAATGTCTTCAAAAATATCAAATAGGAAAACAAAACTCGGTCAATCTCAGATGTCCAGACCAGGAGTCCAATCTACTGAGCGAAAAGCTACCGGTTTCAAATGTTACCAACCTTGCAGGAGGGAGAAAGCGGCCTTCTGCGGTCTGGTTTCAGGGCCTTCCCGGTCCACCGTGGGCGACTGCTGCCCTCTCTCGGCAAATGTCCATGTTTACATGCCACTGGAAGGCATCGAATACAGAGACCTGAAGACGCAAATGAATCCCCGTGGACAGGAATGATCTATTTTAAAGTGAAGTATGCTCGACATTGTCCAGCTGTCTTTTCTTGTCCAAGCATACCTAAATACCCAGAAGGCAAATAGACCTCTTCCCTCCAGCCTCAGCCTTGCTGCAACCGCATGCAAACCAGTGTCGGATTTGAAGGACGAGGGTGAGACCTTCAGGCTTGTTCCTTGCGCTTTCCGTTCAAAATATAACAGACAATACTGTATTCACAAGTATTCCTCTAGAGGGGAAGTCAAGATCCTTGCCACTTTAGGAACCTAAGCTAGTACTGAGCGAGGGAAAACCTACTCATGGCCGACTGTGAGCACAGGGCCCAGGACCGCAAGGCACAAACCAGGCCGGGGACAACCCCTGGTGACAGCCAGTCCCTTCGGAGCTGCCGCAGGACAACGCTGAGCTGCGACCGCGGCACATCCTGAATAGAGTACTGAAAACATTTCTCAAGCGCATCGGTGTGTCGTGGCTGAGAAACTAGTCCAGCGCACACGGGAATCCGAGCAGGTGGACACCCACGGCTGGTGCAGTGACAGTCTGCTCGGCCACTGAGGGGCTGCAGTGGCAGGGGCAAGGGGTCTTCATGCACATGTCTTCATGCGTGTATTCACAGACACACGCATTTTATGGGAGATCTGTGCATGGATTTCAAAATTTTTGCACCAAAATAAGTGTGAACTCTAATCCTACTTTCCATGAACTTCATGAAGTAACCTTGTATAGACGGAGGAAAAATCCCTTTCCTATGTGGGAAATCTTCATTTGAAAATTTGTATCAAACTCCATTTCATATTTGAAGGACGAACTGGAAATAACCTCCCGTCCTTTGCACGCCCCCAGAGGATGGCCGAGGAAAACGCAACTTCAAGGCTGCCTGGGGAGGGGAGCAGTTTCCCTGGTGTGTATCTCCTGTCCCCTGGGAGAGATGACTTTCCAGGCCGCACACCTGGAAGGGTGAGGCCACCTCACACTGCAGACTGAAAGAGGTGACAAACCGGCAGTGCTAAGGAGGGACTGCAGTCCTGCAGACACTGCTCTGCAAGGCAGGCCCGGCCACGACCCACCAAGTACAAGACACAGAGCCCTGAAGGCCAGCCCTCAGAGGTGGCACTAGCAGAGACCCGCTAGGCAGAGCAGACGTCGGAACCCGATGTGGAAGTTTAGGTTTGGTGTGTTCGGAGCATTTACCGTATTCATGAGGACAGAGGCTATAAAAACACCCAAGCACATCTGAGAAAGAATTAGAAACGAACACATCAGACACTGAAATGCAATGGAAGGGTTTAGTGAAAATCAGTGCTAAGACTATATATTTGAAGAAATGATCTAAAATTAAAAATTAAGAGACTAAAAACTAAGACACAAACTTCAATGGACAGGGCTAGCCCCGTGGTGCAGATTAAGGGAGTGGGTCCCATATAGTCAACTGCAATTCGAATCCCACCCTGGCAGCTTGAAAAACACACCAGGCCTGTGTGTGTACGTACCCCAAATCCTGACAGGACGGAGAAATGGAGACCAGACCGTGGTGTGACACCCCATCAGGGCTGCTTCCCCCCGCAATATGGCAATTATAGACATATATTCACACACACACACACACACACATATATATATATATATATATTTGAATAAAGTGAACCAAAAAAGAAGAAACAATCCATCCTAAGGAAAGGAGAAGAGCATAATAGTTGTATAGTACAAAATATCACTCTATAGTAATATTCTAAATGAATATGTGGATAGAGTCCTTCAAATAAAATTCAGAATAAAACTTTCTAAAACACCTATGTTGCTTAAAAAAATAAAAACACCTAAAACACAAGGAAACAAAAAAGGCTGAAAATAAAATAGAGACAGATAAGCTAGATGACTCCTCCCCAGAAGGAAAGTGTCAGACCAAAGACTCAGCAGCCAAGAGAATCCGTATAGACACAGAGGCCCCTACAGGGTGGTAAAGCTTCACGTCACCAGATGGACATGGCCATCCCAGGACCATGCCATCAAAATATAAAAAGCATGACTCAATGGGTCAGCAGGTGGTGTGGTGGTTAAGGTGCTAGACTCCCACATGGCCTAGAGCAGTTCAAGCCCCAGACCTGGTGGCTTAAAAAAAATCATGCCGGGCGGGTATGCGTGTGCATCTAAAAATCCCAAGAAGAATATGGAGGAGAAGGGATTGTGGTATGGCCATCCTCCTTGGCCAAGTGGGAGGGGGTGATTTCTCACTTTCCTTTTGTCTCTTCCCAGTGACCACACATGCCCTATGGTAAAAATAAATTAAAACTTTTAAAAATAAAAAATGAACTAGAAGAACTATAAAAGCAAACCAATATTCTATCATCAAAGTGAAAGATTCTGCCACATTATTTTTTATTCATTCATTCATTCATTCATTCATTTGGAGAGGTTTTTGCTGTAGGGCGTGTGTGCTCGCCAGAAAGAGACAGAGAGACAGAAAG